ACACAGAAATCCCTGCTAGTATCAAGATTTGCTAAATCATTTAAATGTTAATTATGGTTCTATTTTTCAACTACATTTAAATGTGCAGTAAAAGACAGAGTGGTATTTTTCTAGAACTCAATGTTTTTTTTTTATTTCATTTGGAAAGATGGCTTAAAGGCTAAAATTTGGTTCGGTGAAGGTGAGCGATCATACGCAGTTTCTGCCATGACAGAAGCCACAGCAAACCCTGATAATAAAAAGTAATCTTTGAAAACGAAAATCTGTCATCTACCAACCCAGCCCTTCCCACCACTCCCCTCCCCACACACACACTTAAAATCCCTCGCATTGATCTCACTATAAAGACCCCAACCCTATGAGGTCCCACCTACAGAGTCTGACCCTAACTCAGTCTCCAGCCTCATTTCATTCCCTTCTCCTCCCTGATCCCCATTCTCCCTATGCTGCAGCCACATTGGCTTTCTCATGGTCCCTTAAATAAACCATAGTACATCCTGCCATAGGGCCTTGCACATGCTGGCCCCTCTGCTTCCAACTCTTCCACACGCACGCCTCCACCTCTTTAATGGCTACTTATCTCTTTTCCAGCTCAAGCATCATTAATTCTTCAGGGAAGCCTTCCTTAACTCCACACCCCCCATCTATGACAAGTTCTTCAGTGATTAGATCTCACAGAATCTCTCTCTTTTCCTTCGAGGCATTTATCTCATTTAGAATTATACCTTCAAATCTGTTATTACTGGATTAAGCTCGTCTCCCACTTAGACAGTGGGCTTCAGGAAGGCAGAAATGGTGTCTGGTTTTGCCCTTCATCCTATTCCTAGTTCCTAATACAGTTTCTGGCAGATCGCCAGCACCCAATTTGTTGATAAATGGGTAAATGAATTGATGGGTGAATGAACAAGTAAGTGAACAAAGAAAAAGAGAGAATTGCTGGCTTTGGTTGGTTGGCTTGAAACTTCTTGGGGTTAAAATGTAGAAATGGGGAGTTAAAATCAGAGGTGGTTGGGTGGAAGGGGTACATGGCAGTGACCGTTAGGGAGACTTTCTCCCTCTCCGCAGATGAGAGGGAAGAGTGGGTGGGGAGGTAGCAAAGCACCACCAGAAGTCACAGCATAGCTGCCAACCTCATCACAGAGGGCCAAATAAAAATACCCAGACCTTAGGGTAAATGAAAATTATTCACTTCACAATCAGGAAGAAATGCAGTGGAATTAAAGTTGGAGTATATCCTTGAATTGGATTTCATTCTCCAGGGCCCTAAAGTTAACCAGCTGGAATCATTTCTTAAGGAACATCCTATTTAACCTGTGGAAATGGAGCACCTGCCTTTTAATGGAAAAACTACTTCTCATTGTAAAGATAGCACACAATGTTCTTGGCTTCTTTGGTCTCCAGAAAAAGTAATTCAGATTTCTCCCTGTGTCCTCACTGTATATTGACCCCCCTATGTCAACAAAAGAGGCCAGACTAATAGCTAACTTTTTAAAAAATAAGAAGTGGAAAGTATCAGCCCATCCTGAGAAACATTAGGCAGGACAGCCTTCATAGACATGTCTACCTCTCAAGAAGCGATGTGGGGCTTAGGATGCTAAAGACTGAAGGGCCCCACATAACCAACTTCAGAGGCACTGTATTCAGACAACAGGCCAAGTTTACTATGCATTCAAAAGTTCTATTCCTTAAAAAGCATTAACAAAGCATGATTAGTTAATCAATCACTTAAATATTCCTACTTGGCACAAGCCCCTGCCAGTCTATCCCTATACAGTAAAGAGAGTTCCCCTCTTTACACATGCTATAACCCAAAAAAAGAACTAAGACCAGGAAAAATTAAGATATTGGTCAACAGCACAAGGCACCGCATGGGTGTCAGCAAGTTCAGACAGTCCATAGCCAACAGCATTTACTGTATGCCAGTGCTTTACATGTATTTTCTCATTAAATCTTCATAACCCTATGAAATAAATAAAATTACAGTCTCCTTCAAGAAGTTGAGTAACATACCCAAAGTCACAGTTAAAAAGTAGTTTCAAGCTCAAGTCTCCCTGATTCTGAAGCCCATGCTCATAGCCTCTGAGTCCCTGGGGCTTGCAGAGCTCAGGGAAGAGCTCAGGGACAGGGAGTGCTTGAGGCTGGCATGAAGTCAAGGCTTGATGAGGGAGCGGACTCTGAACTAGACGTTAAACAGGGACAACCCTGAGACAGGCCAGAGAAGTAGAAAGGTTGCTACATGGTACAGACAGGGTGTAGAGAGAGGACAGAGGAGAAAGGCGAAGGAAAACAAAGCAAGTCCAGCTGTTCGGATACAGCCATTTTGGAACAAGGGATGAGTGAAGATAAGCTGCACTGTAGGTCATGGTAACATGTGCCACCTTCTTCTTCCTTATGAAATACCATCCTACGCAGAAAGGCTTGGAGAGAGAACTAGAAGGGTTGGGTGGGAATGAATGTCTTTTTTTTTCCCTTCATTCTGCTCCTCTTTTGACCCCAGTGCAGATCCTCAGGCACCCCCCCCCCCGCCCATTGTCTGTGCCAGAAGCCTTTGCATCCTACGTCCCAAGAGTGACAGAGTCTTGGCCTGTGGTTGTCAGGCAGAGCCTGAATGGTACCAGTGGAACTGGAACTCCCTTCTATCAGCTGTAGGCTCTGAGCCAGAGGGGGTGGGGGTATGTGTGTCAGGCTACCCTCCTTATCTGGACCGCTAGACAGCCAGCCTTCCGAGGAAGACGGGGCCAGGTCTGTGGCATAAGCAGAGTTTTGTTCCTAAGCCCTACCACCACCACACACATGTTTCACATAGAAATGCCCTCACTAAACAACCTTTCATACATTCATTTGTTCATTCACACATTCGACAGGAAATTTCTAAATGGCCATTTCAAGCCAGGAACTGTGCCAGGTGTTGGGGGAGTCCGGGTCAAACAAAATAGGGCCCCTACCCTCAGGAGCTGTATATTCTGTTGCTGATGGTGGGCACTGGTGACAGATGGTCAAGCACCAGTAACTGTAATGGATGTTGTGATAAAGAGAAGCTCAGGAAGCTCCATGGGTCTCTAACTGCCCACAGTATAAGCTGCTTGTTTTGTTCATTCTTACACCTCCAAAGCCCATCACTGTGCCCGACAGATAGTAGGTGCTCAGTAGGCTGACCCCCAATCTGTCCCTCTGTGTCTTCTCCACAGTGGGGAGAAGGCTTACAATTGGCATCCTAAGCCTCGATGACGAGAGATAAGGGTACATGGCAATTCTTCAACTAGGTCACAGTATGTTAGAGGTAGGAGAAACTAGACAAGGTTGTCCGTATCATCTCCCTCACTCCCAGCCATCATGCCGCTGTAGTTGGGGTCCTTTGTGAGCTACACGGACTTTCATGCTTTCCTATTGCTCCTCATCCAGATGGTCATCTAAGAAAACTCAAGGTGGTCAGCGTCCCTACTAAAACTCAGGAATCCAGACCCTGACACAGGACCTCTGAGATGTAACTTCAGTCTTCTCATGCTTCCCCAGAGGTTCTACCCTGGCTCACTCACACTAGTGAGCAGTGGGCAATAAGTCTGAGACGCCCTGAAAGTGCTCTTCTGACAAAACAAAACAAACAAACAAACAAAAGACCCTACCTACAAGAATTGGAACGGACACCTTTGTGGGGGGGGGGGGATGGTTACAGAGCACTTGCCATTAAGTCATAAGGCACTTGCTTCCCCATCATCCTACTGGTTTCCTCCATGCAAAAACAGCTGTGACCCGCTATGCTAGAGAAAGTCCTTTCTCTTTGACAGCTACAGCTGGCTGGATGCACCACCCCCTCCTCTGAGATAATGGGCTGTGGAAACAGCAATCATGGCTTCTGGTCGGGGTCCTCCCACACCACCGTGGCCTCCTGCACGCCCTGGGGCCCTGGGGCGGCAGAACCATTCTGGGGAAAGCTGAGAAAGACAGAAAGCAAAGAGGCTGAGAAGTGACTCTGCGTTCGGGGACAGAGGCCCCTGAGGCAAAGCAGGCATCTGTGCTGACAGGAAAGGGAGGTTGTGAAGGGGTAACTAGGCATCTGCCCCCTCAGGCAAGGCAGGCTACGTAAGGCTGGGGAGGGGCCTGGCTAGAGTCCCAAGCCTTCAGCCAGAAAGCTCCTCCCAATCAGTCCAGCGTAGTCCTGGGACATGTTCAAAGGCCCCCAGCTGGGTAGTGGCAGAATGGGATTAGAGCCAGGACTCTTGATTCCCACTCTTGAATTTCTCTCTCATCACCCTGTCACTTCCCAGGTATGGGTCTCATGGGAGAGGTCTTGACCTGTCAAACCCTGGAACTTTCCCTTCCAAGATGACTCCTGTTTGCCAGACAGGGCTGGGCTTTTCTGTTTCTGACCAGTGGCCTTCTTAATCCTCCAATGTCAACCGTCTCGCTGTCTGTATCCATCCCCTTCCTTGTAAAGATATAGCAGGTCTTCAGGGGTCCTGTGATAGCAGGAGGACTGATGGGCAGCCTGGACCCCGCCCAGCCACAGACCTTCCAGGAACAGTGGGCCTGTGACTTGGCATCGGGGCATGCTGATCTTTTTCTCCAGAAAAGGCAGTGTGGGGGGGAACGGGGAGGAATCCAGCCACTTCTTGACCATAAAAATTCCTTCTCTCCCCCTCACTTTGACCCTTGTCTGGCCGTCTGAGACAAGGCAGTAGCGTCCGTCGGGGCAGTTTGGAAAAGGAGGGAGAAGAAGATTTGCTGGTTTGCTTGGCCAGCACCGGGAGCATGAGCCTTGTCTACCCCTCCGCCGCGGGCTGTCTCCGCTAACTCTTCTCCCTGTCTACCCATCTCCGCCTTCCTGTCCCTCCGGACTGCTCGGGCGCCACTGCTGCTGTCCCCAACCTGCCCCACCAGCCGGGCCAAAGGGCGGCGTGACTCACGGCGCTGCCACCAGCCCACGGCTTGCCCGTGGCGTATAAAGGCTGCCCCGGCGGGAGGCGGCCCAGCCCTGACCGCCGGCCCGAAGCGCGCAGAGCATGGCCCGAAGCGCGGAGCGTGGCTGCGGGGGCGCGGGCTGGGGTATGCGCGGTGCCCTGGCCGCCGTGGCCCTACTCTCGGCGCTCAATGCTGCGGGCACGGTGTTTGCTCTTTGCCAGTGGCGCGGGCTGAGCGCGGCGCTTCGGACGCTGGAGGCGCAGCGGGCCAGGGAGCAAAGCGAGGACAGCGCCCTGCGCGCCTTCCTGGAGGAGTTGAGCCGCTCGCCGCGCTGGGCTTCTGCGCCACCGCCAGACCCCGCGGGCGTCGCTCGCAACAAGCGCAGCCAAAGCGGGGAGCCAGTGCCGCATCTCCGCGCCGAAAGCCAAGACATGCTGATGATGATGACCTACTCCATGGTGCCGGTAGGCGGGGCTTGGCTCCCCGTGGCGCCCCTGCCTGGGTGGGCGGCAAACAGTGTGGGGAAAGAGCCCCATTCCCTCTCCTCCAGCCCTCATCAGTCAAATGGGGAAGGGGAGGGAGGGAAGGGATAAGGCTTCCATCTCTGACGTCGTTGAGTCTGTAGGTAAATGAAGGGTATAAGCAGTGTTTGTAAGAGCCTACTTTCCTCCCTAACTTTGGACAAAAGTTTTCACCTTCTCATATGAAGGGAGCCCCAGCAGTCCCTGGGCTCTGCCTGCACAACTCACTGAGGCCCCCTGAGAGCAGGGAAGCAGCATATCTGAAAGGGTGCAGGCTTCTTCAATAAAGGGAGTCTTTTCCTGACATAATCTAGTAGTCTGGTTTTTCACCTGGCCTCTGTCCCCACGAGATTGCTGACCTAATTGTCTTCGCTTAAGTGAACACAATCAGCCCTAATTTTACCAGCCACCTAGAACGTTGATGCTGAGAAAGTTGCTCCCAGGCCTAAGGCAGTTTTCTTAAAAGTGTCAGAGGTGATGGTTCTAATGTGGGCTCCATTGAGTCTGTAAAAACTCTCAGAGATTGTTTGCATACAGTGCATCTGGGAAGAGTCTGTAGCCCTCTGTTATATTTTGAAAGGGGCTTTACCGCACTCCCCCAAGAAGGTTTAAGAAACACTGCACTACAGAGATTCTTTAAAGCAAAGCCCCCAAAATCTTTTTTCCAGTTTTAATTTCCTTTGATTTCGGTGATTTTTAACTCAGTAATTATCTAACAATTGCACATAGATCACATTGCTCTTCCCCATTCCATGTTATAATCCATTACAACCACAATGGTCTTATTTCACTGTATGATTACAAAGATTTCAGTTCTGTCACCTCAAGTGTGAGAAATAATTCGGAATCCTAGGTGTTTGAAGATCCATCCACGTAATGCTTCTGTTATCAAAGAAGCTTTTAAATATCTTATATGAGCTGAAATGCTTTTAAAACTACATGGAAGTACTACACACTGCAAACATTTTTTTTGAGAGATCAAATTTTCTATCCCTGGCTTCATTTTATTTTTAACCCATAAACATTTAAAAATCTGGGCCCAAGCAAAAATTTCAAAAACAGACCTCTGTAAAGTGAAGAAATATCATCAGGGGGATTTGCTCTTTCTCTTGTCTCTCTCCTGTGCATTTTGAGGGGTTTTTATGAAACCCTCTAAGAAGGATGTGTCTGAGCATCAACACTTTATATTTTTAATCCTGCTTTTAAGGTAGAGGCTTATGTATCCAAATTGCAGCCTGTTCAGCCACTACCTCAAGAGAATGGGCTCATTTCTGTGTCAGTCTGAAAGCTAAATTTAACTACCACCACCTGCTCTATTACAGGTCAGAGAGCAGCAACCACATTATCAGGCTGAGGAACACTTACACGTTGTCACCCACTCACCCTCCCCCCACTTGCAATAGGCATGCTTTGACCTTTCAAAGCCAATGAGGGGCTTTCCATGCTGGCTTTCCTCTTGGGAGTAGTTCTCAAACAGTTGACACATTAAAAATGTAGATTCCAAGGCTCCGCCCTCAGACATATAGAATCATAATTTCCCCACCCTTCTACCCTTTGGCGAGTGTAGTTCAGGCGCTGTAGAACAGTTGAGAAAAACTGCTCTAGACCACCTCTAGCTTCAATGTGCTTATGAATATTGTAGGGGTCTTGTTAAAATGCTGCTTCTGACTCAGAAGATCTAAGTGGGAGCCTGAGATTTTGCATTTCTAACGAGTTTCACTGATACCAAGGCCGCTGGTCTGAGGACCACGCTTTGAGTGCCACGGTTCTAGAGCAGCAGTTGCACACTGAAATCATACGGGGAGCTTTCAGCAGGACTATGAGTAGACCCCACCCCCGGAGATTCTGAATTAATTGTTAGGGGTGCAGCCCCGGGGGTCGGGGGGTGGGGTGGGGAGGGGGTGGTGCGCAGTCACTAGCAGGAACGATATGGCCTGACTTCCTGATAAGAGAAAGCTGCCTTAAGCATCTCGCTCCCCTTGAGGCCTCTGCTTCAGGCAGAGGAACCAATTTTATTATTGCAAAGCCCCTTCCTCCCTTCCTTCCTTTCTTCCTTCCTTCTTTCCTTCCTTCCTTCCTTCCTTGTTAACATCCTCACCATTCACCTTTGCAAATTTTTCTCGTCTTTACTCTGACTCTCTTAGAACAGAGAATTATTCACATGAGGAAACAATTTTTAAAAAAGAACTGTCCCTAGGGCACTTCTACTAGAGAAGTTGCTAAGAGATTTAGTACACAGCCTGACAGAAGGGTGCACAGATTCCTTCTGGACAACTGTCAGGCTGTGGCCTTCCCCCCGCGCCCTTCATACAGCACCGGTAGGTCTTGAACAAGGGCGCAGAGGTCCCCTCATTGAGGTCCCATGTCCTTAGAGATCTAGGAACAAAGAATAAGCTGTACACAGACTAATATCATTTCAAAAAGTCCTCCAGAATGGCTCTTTTATCCATAATGAGCCTCCTCAAGCTAACAGAATTCAGAGTTTTGTACTTTTGGCTGAAAGTACATCTACTCAGCATGGTAACTCTGGCTAGCACATTCTGATCAGGGACTGGTTGGCAGCTGTAAATAACTTTGTTAAAAGGGCAACGTAACTAATTATTACTTAAGTACAGTTAGGTTTGTCATCCTGCACAAAAACTAGGGTTCAGCACCCAGTAAAAAGAAAGTTTTACTTCTTCCAATGTGCACCTTAAGGTCTGAATAGATCAATAATTTATACTTTAAAAAAAAATGAAGCTTTAAAATTACTAGAAGAAAATATGAGTAACTTCATTTTTAACCTTGAAATGGGGAAGATCTTTCTTTCAAACTGTAACTCAAAAGCCACAAGCAAACAACAAATAAATAAACTACATTTAAAAAGCATACACGACATCAACAAAACTGTATAGCAAATAACAACAAAAAGAAACAAACACACACCATAAGCAAAGGCAAAGATAAATAACAAACTGGAAAAAATATTTGCAGCTCATATCATATATACAGCACTAATCTTCCTGACACATAAAAAGCACTCCTAGAAGATGACAAGGGGAAAAAAACAAGGATAATATGGGTAAAATTAGCAATGGAAATAGGAATCCAATAGGAAAATGGAACACAGATCTCAAGAAAAGAAATGCAAATGTCTCTTAAACACGTGAGAAAAGATCTCTTGATTTAAAAATGGGAATTATGGCTGCCCTGAATAGTTTTTACCTGTCAGAATGAAAAAACTACAAAAGTTGGAGAACACCTTCTGTTCAGGAAGTGTAATGACAGACATGCTCTTGCATTGCGGCTTGGGGTGCAAAATGGTACAACCTGTGAGGAAGGCAATTTATCAATACCTAAAAAAATTATAAATACATTTATCCTCTGATCCATCAATTTCACTTGTGGGAATTTATCCTGCACAACAGACTTTACCACCTATGAAATGGCAAGCACATAGCCATTCACAGCACAATATTTGTAAAAGCAAGACTTTTAACAACCTGTGTCCACCAATATAGGACTAGTAAAACTGACCTATATACACACTGGGATACTAGGTAGTGGTAAAACAAGAATAAGGACATTCTTTCTGGACTTCTGTTGGAACAATCCCCAGGGTATACTTATTTTAAGTGAATAGAGCAAGGCAGGGAAAAGTATATATTGTACTATTTTGTGTAGGGAAGAAGAGGAAAATTAAATGAAGAAATTAAAAAAGTGCTTACTTAGGGAGGGTAGGGATACAGTGGGAATGAGCCTTTTCACTGTATAGCTCTGTGTGTTATTTTGACTTTTGTACCCTGTGATTGTGTTACTCTTTTGTGAGTGAAAATGCCGCAAGCACAAGGTTAAGTGGCAGCTGCCACCGGGCTGGGGTGCTGGAGGGTGGGAGGGACTGCCAGCCGAGGTTCCCGGGCTCTGTCTAAAAGGGTGGCTCTTGCTGATTGTTGCCATGTAAGAATGAGAATCCAGTGCCTGATCTTTTGATTATTCTCAAGAGAAGTAATAAAAGAAAGAAAGAAAAAGAAATCTGACTTTTTATGTGAAATCGCTTGGCTTTTAAATATTGACAAAAATTCAGAAAACTTGTTTTTAATTGGCTGACCATGAGTTGTTTGACCAGTGTCAAACAACACTCACATTGTTAGGAGCCACGTTATGACTTCCAGGCTTAGTTTGTAGCAGTCTCATCTTGTAATCATGGGTGGTTTTGGACAAAAATGGCTTTATTTAGCTCAATCACAACTCCATGCCACCCTATTATTTTCCAGCCTGATTCTGATAGGCTAGTGGTTGTGGTACCATTGTTACTGTTATTGCTAGTTGAGGGCAGATGGTTTTTTTGCATTTGGGTTGGTTTGGCTTTTTTTTTGTTGGTGGTAAGGTTCTTTTGTTTTCCTTTTTTTTTTTTTTTTTTTTTTTTTTTTGGCTCTTTCTAAAAATCAACTATGCCTTCAGCGGATGGGGATTTCCCTTCACCGTGGTTTTTCAAAAGCACGTGCGGCAGTTCTGAGGGTGGTTCTCAGGGAGGAGAGTCCAGCTGTGTTAGGCAGTAACACATTATTGTAACAAACAGGGCTTTTCATGATGGCTGCTGTGAGGTACATGTTTAGGGATCTTTGCATTATCTTGTTTAAAGGGAAACCCTATTCCCCGTAGTCACAGCTCCTGTTTGCATGGAGGCTAGATTCCATGAAGGCCCGGAATTGCTGTGCCAGGGTCTACCTCCCTTTCCTGCCCTTTGGACCAGGTCACTCACTTCCAGGTGGTGTAAAGGCTGAGGGTTTCATCCCAGGGTCAACACATTGTGACCTACAGGCCACACCCAACCTGCCACTTGTTTTTGTACAGCCCAAGAAGTAAGAATTGTTTTTACATTTATAAATGATTAGGGAAAAAAATCAAAAGAAGAATCACATTTCATGGCATATCAACAAATGAAATTCAAATTTCAGTGACCA